TCCTAATATGTTAGCTTTTTTTTTTTTTTTTTTTTTTTTTAGATAGGGTTTCATGTAGCCCAGGCTGGGCTTGAACTCCCTAAGTAGCTAAGAAGGACCTTTCACTTCCAGTGCTCCTCCTTCTGCCTCAATAGTGCTGGATTACAGCATGGATGTGTTCTGCTGGGACAGAATCCAGCCCCTCATGCATAATCAGTAGCTAGAGAATAGATATGTATTAGTTTGCTTTCTGTTGCCGTGATAAACACCAACCAAAAGTAACTTGGGGAGAGGAATGAGTTTGTTCGACTTGTAAGTCCTGATCCCATCACAGTCCTGTTACTGAGGGAAGTCAGGACAGGAGATCAAGGCAGGGGTCTGGAGGCAGGAACTGAATCAGGGCCCCTGGAGGGATGCTGCTGACTGGCTTGGTCGGCCACATTTCTCATACCTCCCAGGACCACCTGCTTGGGGGTGGCACTACCCACAGTGGACTGAGCCCTCCCTCAGGAATCATTCAGTCATGAAAAGGATCCAGGGATATGTCCAACAGACCAATTCGATGGAGGCAGTTCCTCAACAGTAGTTCCCTCTTCTGTTTGTAGAAGTTGACAAAAACTAATAGGGACAATATATATATGCAGTGAGTTGGGAAGGGGAACAGATAAATGGGTCCAGTGACTCTGGGTCCATCTTCAAGGCACTGACTGAGGCACTTGAACAGAAAAAAAATTGGGGCAGGAGTGAAGGGTATGAATAGCCTGGGTGAAGATGGAGTCTGGTTGTTCATTGTTTCTGCTTAGGTTCTACAAAATGGACTAGAGAAGTCTTCATTACCCTAGGGTAGTGCTTCTCAACCTTCCTAATGTCTTGAACATTTATCACAGTTCCTCTTGTTGTGGTGACGCTCCAACCACACAATTATTTTTGTTGATACTTTGTAACTGTAATTCTGCTCAAATGGTAATGGGGATATTTTGGGGATAGAAGTTTGCCAAATGGGTCACAACCCAAAGGTTGAGAACCTCTAGGAACCAAAATGATTCTCTGGAGGTGATCATTTCTGCAGGGTGCAGCCTGGCCATCATAGACTGAGTCCATTTGGGTGGTGTCTGTCCCCTCAGGCTCCTGTTGCTTGGAAGTGGTTTTGCTCCCTGTGTGTTGATCAGCCCATGTGATAGCACAGGCCACAGCCTGGGATGAAAGCTCAAGGGGCACCTGTTCAAATATCTGGGTTCTTGGGCTGGTGATATGGCTCAGCAGGTAAAGGTGCTTGCAGCCAAACTCAATAGCTTGAGAGATCCATCCCTGGCATCCATGAGGTGGAGGGAGAGAATGGTTTCTGCCAATTGTCCTCTGACCTCCATACATGCACTGTGCACACTACTCACCTTACTACTAAATACACAGATAAATAAATAGGAGGAAAAAGGACATATCCAGATTATTGTGACCAAGGACAATAAATTGCACCAAGGACAAGTGGTTAGAAATAAAGAGTTTATTAAGAAAAGGAGCCAGGTGTGGTGGCACACTGCTAGGCAGTGGTGGCAAGTGCCTGTAATCCCAGTACTCAGGAGGCAGAGACAGGCAGATCTCTATGAGTTCGAGGCCAGCCTGGTCTACAGAGTGAGTTCCAGGAAGTTCCAGGATAGACAGGGACACATAGTGAGACTCTGTCTCAAAAACAAAACAAAAGGAGAGAGAGAGAGAGAGAGAGAGAGAGAGAGAGAGAGAGAGAGAGAGAGAGAGAGAGGAGTACCCGAGAATGAGAGTGGGCTATTGAGCTGAGGAAAAAACATGCAAATCCTGGGTCCCAGGCCCGTTATAGGATGCTTACACAGCATCCGCCGCCATTTTCATTATTTCACATATACAGTGGGCTTTTCTCATGCATGTTCTGTTAGATAAGGCTAAGGTGGGGAATGCTCTCCAGTCTTTTTTTGACAACTGGCTTCCTTAATATTAATCTTATTTATTTATTTTTTATTTTCTTGTTTGTTTGCTTTTTTTTTTTTTTTTCAAGACAGGATTTTTTTGTGTAGTCCTGACTGTCCAGGGATTTGTGCTGTAGACCAGGCTGCCTGCAGACTCAACTGAGATCTGCCTGCCTCTGCCTCTGCCTCCTGAATGCTGGGAGTAGAGGTGTGTACCACCAAAACTTGTAGGAAGAGCATCTTTGAAAGTGGAGGTGATAATAAGCAGACGTGATAATAAGGGCATGCAGCAGGGTGCTCTGGGACCCTAGTTCCCTGCACTCCGTCCTAAAGATGGAGAAACTCAGGGGGCCCCCTTCCTTGTGGTGGGATTACGCTCCTGTAATCCCAAGCACAGCTGCCTTTAACCTCGAGCCAGGGTGGAGGCACAGAGAAGCGTGTGCATGCACATAGGCATGTGTGCATGGATGTGTTTGTGCATGTACACATGGGGGGGATGTGCATGCATACAGGTGTTCTTACACAGATGAGTGTACTCACACAGGTTCTTTGAGCAAAGATGTGTGTGCACCGGTATGTGTATTGGGTCTGGATTTCTCCCCTAGCCCACTCACTCCTGAGGACCCTGTGGACTTGTGCCAGGCTGACCCACTGTGAGCCTGTCCCCAGGCTTCTCCTCCCTGTCAGATATAAGCCTGGCACCTTCTACTGCTTTCCCACCCTTGTACTGTGTAATGCTGATGTTACACTGTGGGGAAACTGAGGCTCAGAGACATTAATCAAATAGCCAGCTCAGGACTTGAGGTGAGGACCTGGGACTTCAAGCAGGCATCCACCTTGGGGACACTCAGAGCCCCAGGATCAAGGCAGTGAGGGGGTCGCATACCCGGTGCCTATCGGAGCTAGCTCCTTCTACCCTCTCCACACTCTCCCAAGGCCAAAGCCTGCCCAAGAAAGACACATTGTAGGCAGCCCCCAGCCCCTTGGGATGACACAAAGGCCAGAACTCCTCAGAGGAGGCAGGAAGGGGCCCCAGGCCAGCTGGGCCAGGACACAGGCTAGGAAGTAAGCAGAGACAGGAAGCTGCACAACTGGAGTCTGAGCCGCCATTGTCCACCTGGGGGTCGGCGCCGGCAGCTCTCTAAACCCTGCCCAGCTGTGAACCTAGGTGTCTCCCTGGCCCCAGCTGGCTTCCTGCTCCTAGCCTCAGTTTCCCCACTACAAGCCTTAGTGGGTACTTGAGTGCAGCTGTCCCCTCTCAGCATATCTCCTGAACTGACATGGTTAGGCTTCACAGCACCCTGTGGCTCTTGGGCTCTGCTGCCTTACTGTGACAGAGGTCTACAGGGTTTCCTGTAGAGTGAAGCAGGGCTCGGGCTCAGCCCAGTCTGCCATACCGAAGTCTAGGGCTTCACTCTCTGCTCCCTGCCTCGATCAGCACTGGTCAACTGCTTTCTGTACACGAACTCACCTGAAACGGTCACGTTCCCACCCCACGTTCCCACCCCACATTCCCACCCAGGGTCTTCTGGCGCTGTGATTAGGCCCTGGGACAGAGCTGGGTTCAGTGGGTTCCCAGGTGGAAAGGAAGTGTAGACAGATGGGTAGGTAGGTAGACAGACAGACAGGTCAATAGACAAGCATAAAACAGACTATAGGTTGCCAGGCAGTGGTGGTGCACACCTTTAATCCCAGCACTCGGGGAGGCAGAGGCAGACAGATTTGAGTTTCAGGTCAGCCTGATGTACACAGGGAAACCCTGGCTCGAAACACCAACCCTGAACCATACCCCAAAAAGTAGAATATAGATAGGAGTTGATGGATAGAAATAATAAAAATAGATGGCAAATGATAGGTGATAAAAAAGATAGATGATAGATAACTAACAAGATTTACAAATGATAAATGATTCATAGAAAAATAATAGATGGATAGATGACAGACAGATACTTAGAAAGAAGAAAGAAAGAATAGGCTGGGGGATGACTTAGTGGTTAAAAGCGCTTACTCTGCAAGTGTTGAAGACCTAAGTTCAAATCCCAGCACTGATGTAAAAAGCTGGCCTGTAACCTCAGCACTGCTGGACAGAGACGGATGGACCTCCAGAGCTTGCAAGCCGACAGCCTAGTCAAATAGCGACCTTCCAGTTCATTGAGAGACCCTTTCTCAGACCAATAAGGCAGAGCTGGTAGAGGTAGATACTGGTCCTTCTCTGATCTCATGAACACAGGTGTGTGCACCTACACATATGCCCCTCCACACACCTGTGTGTGTGTGTGTGTGTGTGTGTGTGTGTGTGTGTGTATAATGGATAATTGGGTAAATAGATGATAATTAGATAGATAGGTAAGAGATGAATGGATGAGCAATGTTGTTCTAGCATCTTAAAGTTAATACGCCTGTGGAAGCTACCAGTACTCTCATAGTGAGTCCCTGCAGTCCCCTTGCCTGCCTCTGGGAGCTCTTGGGCTGTGGTTGGAAGGCTTGGCCTTTCTCAGACAGGCGTGGGCTTTCCTCCAGGGTAGCCTGGAAGGATGATTTGTGGAAGGTGTAGAGCCTGGAGGCTGAGGCTGAGCCTGGTTCCTGTCTGTGGCCCTTGGGGTTCTCCCTCCCTCCCAGTAAGCTGTGCCTGGCTGTCACACACTCACAGAAGGCGACAGGGACAGGAGCACGTCTCTCTTCCAGGTGGGACTAGCGGAAACAGGAAAGACTCCAAAGGGAAGCAGGGGGAGAGGAAGCTTCCAGGAAGCCTGGGGGGCCTCTGAAGTGGTGTCTTAGACTGGGCTAGACAGAACCCTGTGCCAACCCTCCCAACTTGGGTTCAAGACACCATCCAGAGTCTCCTTTACCCTGGGATGAACCTGGAGGGACCCAGTGGCCATGTTCCACCCCACACAGAATGTCATGTGAGTGTCAGAAGTTGTCCTTTGAAGTCCAACCCCAGACTCCAGGCTCTTAGGGACAAGGGAAGGGACTGGGGAGTGTCTGAGGGGGCATTGGTCTCAGGAAGCCCATTGCCCTGGCAAGTACATCTATGGCTATCACAGCCCCGTACCGTGTCCTCACCTCCGCAACAGACAGTAGTGTAGCCTGCTCATATTTTATTGAAGGTAAAGTTGGTAGGTTGCATCTCGAACCCCAGCTCCCCTGCAGCCATAGGGTACAGCTCCCAGTGGCAGAGGACACAGTCAGGATGGCCAAGCCAGGCTCTTGGAGGCTGTGTGGTCCACTCAGAAGCCCCCATCCCTGCAAGAATCCAAGATTCTGATCTTCACTCTGCTCTCTCTGACTAGATGTGGATGACTGGGGGGTGAGGGTGGGAGGACAGATATACAAGGCTCAAAGAGGGTAGCACAGTACCCAGGGTGTGGATGAATAGGAGTCCCTGATGAGGTGTATGGGAGGACAGGGTGGGAACATTACCCCCAGCTCAGGCTTCGCTTGGCCAGCTCCACCTGGGCCAGCCGATGGTCGCTGAGTACCCGCACTCTGGTGATGGTGGCCAGTGGTCGGTGACGATGTGGGAACTGGAGTATCTTGTGTTCCTGGGCGTAAATGTGGAAGTGTTCTGCATCTGCACTCACCTCCATCTGCGGGGGAGGGAGAGCAGGGGTAACCCTGGGTCTCAGCTGCAGAGGCCATCCTGGCTCCTTGGCAAAGCAGAGTATAGCCTACCTGACCCTGAGTTCCCAGATGGGGACCCCTCTTTTCTCCAGGACAGGGAGATTGGCAGCCAGAGAGAGAAGCATCCCAGTGAACAAATGGGGAAATAGAGGGAAGGGAGGCCACACAGGCCCAGCAGGGAGGCCATGGCACCAACCCATGTAAATATCCATAGTAGTCCCTTCTCCATTGGCACTGGTAACCCATCCCCACCTCTCCTTCCTTCCCAGGCCCCCTCACCTCAAAGGGCTCTCCCAGGGTCAGTGGGAACACACTAGACACCTCCTCCTGTCCCCAGCGTCCTCCCTGGAAGGCGTTGCCCACCACCGTGGCGCTGGAGAATCGGGGTTTGACGTGGAAAGCGATGTCTCCCGAGTCAGTTAGGAAGTTGATCTCAAACCTGTGGGTGAGGAGTGTGCTTAGGGTCAGAAATGTGGTTGTAGGGTCCCTACCATGGTCCCAGGAAGGAAGGGAGGCTCTTACTTGTCCTCTCCAGCATCTGCATGTCCCTGTACTGTCAGGCTCCAGCCTGGGGCCAGGCCCCCTGCACAGAAGGCTTCGAACTGAAGGTAAAACACAGGAAACAGAGCCCCGTAGGCTGCAGCCTCCTACCTCCCCTCCAAGTGTACAGTTTGTTCAGGGGTACTCACTCCCACCCAGCCCAAGGCCTCCACCTCAATGTTACTCTGGGTGGGGTGGTCCAGAAGCCTTACCCCCACGGCCCCTCTGCTTGGGGTCTGAAGAGAAGACATAGATCTTCTCCAGCTCTATGGTGGCCAATAGGTGGTCTGCTGGATGCCTCCACCCTTCCCACTCCAACTGTGCATGGTAGTGGCCCTCACCCACCTGCACCGCCATTGCCCTCAGCCACGGGGAGGACCAGGCAGCTAGGGATATAGCAGAGTCCCCTGGGGCGGGGCACAGGAGCCCCACCCACCTCTGAGGGCTTTGTCTGGGTCACATGGACCTCTTTGCCCCATTTTTCCCTCCCCCCTGAGACTACCCCTACTGGAGAGGGGGCTGGGAACATGGCTTGATGGCAGAGCTCTTGCCCTGGGCTTGTTCTCATCAGGGTCACAGGCCCTCTCAGCACATTTCCTCGGGTCTGTCTGGCTCTGCCACCACGACTGTTCAGGTCTTGCACACATCTGGGGACATATTCCCCATCTATGTAGGAAGGGTATGATCAGGGTCCGCACCCCATAAACCAGAGCCCCAAACCGGCCCACCTGTGTCAAAGGGTGAGGAAGGCATGCCCTCCTATGGAGCCTGGTTGACCTCATTGTGGGGTCTGTCTGACCATCCATCCACTGTCCACCATGCTGGGAGTGTGGTTCCCCGCCTGCCCCCCACCCTCTGGGCTGCCCTGTGCAGTGGCTCAGTGGCCTCAAGGGGATGAATGGGGGATTAGGCTGGGCTCTGCTCAGCACATTCCAGTCCTCAGTCTACAGATGGGGAGGCCCTTTCCCACACCCCCACGCCCCTCCTGGCAGGCTGCCTCTTAGGCTGAGCCAATAAGAGGGGTCCGCTGGGGCCCTGGAGGCCACCTCAAGGACAGAGGAGAGAAGCCCAAGTCTGTGGGGGCGGCTGTGGGGGCCTCTGGGACTCTCCAAGGAGGGAAGTTGGGCCAGAGTGTAGCTAGGCTTGGGACTAGTGCCTGCAGATGAGTGTATAATGATCCTGCACCCCCCCCTCCCATCCCATGGGTCCTCTCTACCACCGTTCTCCTCTCCAGGCCCTGGCAGGGCTGAACCTCTGGCCTGCTTTGCCTCTTCCAAGACGCTGCTGTATGAACACAGTCTGGCAGGGAGTGGTGGGTACGAAGGTCAGGCGGGACACAGAGACCCCTCACTAGCCAGGAGGTGCAGTGAGTGGCCCAGGATTTCTTTGCTGCAGGGAAGGGCAAGGCTGGTTGTGCCTGCAGGGGGCAGCCAAGGACAGCAGAGTCTCCATGGGGTGAGCCTGCTGGGCCTGTCCTGTCCACTCCCACCCATCATCCACCCCCCTCACCCCCCCCACCTCCCCACCCCCCACCCCGTCTAGCTGCTGTGGGTGCAGGGTCTGCAGGGCCCACACACTCCCCTCCCCAGAGGAACATGGAGAAGCCTTTTTTGGTACTTACAGTCAGTACAGTTTAGTACAGTCAGAAAAGTGCTTGCTATGCAAGCATGAGGACCCGAGTTTGATGTCCAGCACCCAGGCAAAACACGGAACACAGTGAAATGGCCTGTGCTGGTAATCTCAATGCCAGAGAGACAGAGACAAGAGGATTCTGGAATTCTCTAGCCAGCCAGGATACTGAAATCAACAAGCCCCAGGAAGAGACTTTCAAAAAACAGACACTCAAAACCCCTGGGCCACAGGGCCTAGTAGGAAGCTGCAGGCCAGCTTTATGGCTTCCGTGTTTCCTGCCCCCTGTGTAGGAGTGTGCTGGGACTAACTGTCTATCTTAAATTCTCTGGACCTATAGTCCAGCAGTGCTGGTCAGTGCCCAGGGCTCCCGGCTAGGGAAGAGCCCCCACTCAGGGGTGTGGAACACGTTCTGACTTTGGTTCCCTTGAGCCAGTGGCCTCTCGGCTTCTCAGATTCACACTGGGCTTGCCAATGCTGGCCTCACCCACTGTGCCTGTCTGCTTGGTGAGGGAAGCCGAATAAAGACAGATGCAGCTGGACAGGGGAATCAGTCACTCTACCTCCATCTTTTCTAGGGTGAGAAGAACCCTGGTGTGGGCACCTTGTTCTCAGGGTCTGGCTGCCTGGAGGCTCTAGCTAGGAACTTGGGCATGGTGGGGGCTCCAGACCTGCTGGACAGGAGGCCCAGGTGTTGCTGCCTGGGGCAGGGAGACCAAAGTGCTTGCTTCTAGCTATCTCATTCCGTTGTGAGCCTCAACCTCTCTTCTGGCTTATGGAGGAGAGCTGGCAGATGCCCACACCCAGTCTTCACAGCTCTGGAAAACCTGGGAACTCCAGGCCATTCTGAGGAGGTCAGCTGTGCACCCACATCTGGGCTCTGCCCCATGGTGTCATGCAGGCCTGTGTTCAGAACCCTCTGAGAAGCTGGGAGTTGTGTCCAGTAGGGTTGGGGCAGGGGGCTGTGACAGCTCCCAATGACCCAGACAGTTGCAGCCCAGGGGACAGAATGGGCCAAGGAGAGACTTGAGATTCCCCTTGGTAGTCCAGAACCTTCTCTGGCTGCCTCTGACCTGGCCTGGTTGGTCTCATGAGACCAGATGGTGTGGTGGGCAGTGCTTCTATGTGCATGCTGTCCAGTGGGGCCAGCTGTCACATAAGGAAGTTCAGGGCTGAGAATAACAGACCTGATATTTAGGTACCACTGCACCTCCTACCTCCGTCTCCACCAGGATGTGCGGTTTTGCCTGGAGCTGTTGACTTTGAAGGTGCAGAAGCAGGAGCAGGTCTCTACCCAGTTCCAGGGAGGAGCTACACCAGGGTAGGGGATAGGTGGCCATCTTGGCCAGATCCTGCCCAGTGCATAGCATCAACTCTCCTCTTCTGCTCTCTCCTCCTCTCCTCCTTTCTTCCTTCCTCTCCCTCCCTTTCCTTTTGCTTTTCCTTCCTCCTCTTCATCATACTTTCTTTTTTCTTCTGTTAAATTGTATTTAAGAATGCCCCGATGGGGAGCTGGAGACATGTGAGCAGTTAAGAGCACTGACTGCTCTTTCAGAGGACTGGGTTCAATTCCCAGCACCCACATGCAGCTCACACCTGCCTGTAACTGCATTCCAGGGGATCTGGCATCTCTATATAGACATATATGCAAACAAAACACCAACGCACATAAAATAAAAAATAAATTTAAAAAGAATGCCCCTATGTAGCCCAGGCTGGCCTCCAAGTTTCCATCCTCCTGTTCCAGCCTTCTCAGTACTGGGGTTATGGATCTGTGCCACTAAAACCATGTTGTTGTTAAGAAAGGGTCACTATGCTGCATAGCTCAGGCTTGCTCTCTGCCAGGTTCCTGCTGGGCAGTTGACATGCATTTCTGTAGCTGACAGCCTGTGGGGCTGGTTCTAGAATTAATAGTCTAGAAAAGGTGAAAGAGCACAAACCCACAGCTAGGGCATCACCGAGCCAGGGTTTGAAGTCACCAGTGTGTCTGAGTCCCCGTCCTTAACACAGTGCTGGATCATCCCCCGGGGGCACAGCTGCTCATTGGATGGGGGTCTAACAGGGTTGGCTTCCAGGAGGAAGACACCCTGAGGGTGACTATTGTAGAATCAACAGGAGTTAGAAGGTGAGGGGGAAGGTGCCCAAACCCAACAGCAATCTGGGTGTGGTGGCCCAGAGCTATAATCTCAGCACACAAGAGGCTGAGGCAGAAGAATTGAAAGTTGGAGGCTAGCCTGGGCTACAGAGTGACACCCTTTCTCAGAAAGGGACAACCAGAAGAACAAGAGGAGGAGGGAGTACAGAAAAGAAACAACCAGGTGTGGTGGAGCCTTTAATCTTAGCACTAGGGAAGAAAGGCAGGCGGACTTGTATGAGTTTGAAACCAGCCTGATCTACATAGGGGTTCCATTACATCTAGGATCACATAGAGAGACCCTATCTCAAGAGAAAAAGGAAAATAAGTAAAAAGAAGGGGGGTGAGGAAGATATCTGGCCTGGATGTGAGCCATTAGGAACACTTCCGGGAAGAAGTGGTATCACATAGCTGACTGTGAGAAGAGTGGGCTACGTGGTCGCGTGAAGGTTTCTCACAATGTGAAAAGGCCCTGGGGAGGCAAAATGAAGAGAAATCCCCTTTTCTCTACTACAGCATCAGTTTCTGGGCCAAGCTCGCCAGTAATCCACTAACTTTGCAATCATCAAAGATGTTCACATCTGTTCATAGCACTGCTGGACTAGAACCTTCTTTCCCTTTCAGGGATGGAGAAATAGGCCACTGCTGGGCTATGTGGGCTGTTGCTGTGAACAGCCTCCAGGGGGCAGAAAGGAGCCAGGTCAAAGGAAGATGCCCAGATATCCAAGACAGTTATGGCATGAGGCAGGAGAGGATGGTGATGGAGGCAGGGGTGGGGGATGGAGGGTGGAGAAGGGATTCCCTCCCAATCATCCAAAGCACAAGAGGCTGGGCTGTGGAAACTAATTCATCCAGTGTTAACAGTAAATGAGCCCACGGTGGGTGCAGCCATCTTTGAGGTATGGCATACAGAGAGTTGCTTGGGACACAGCCACAACAGGAGCAGGCTCTGAAGCAGATGTTTGGGCCATGCTCTGCCTGCCCACTAGCATCTGACCTGGAGGGAGCCACATATTTACTCCAGATGCATGCTGGGCTCTAAGGACACCACAGGCTGCCAGGGCTATAAACAGACCTGGGGACTGGATTGGAGGAAGGAAGAGCTGCAAATACAATCAGACAGCCAAGTATCTGGGGGATCCCTTTTAAGCTGTCCTAAAGATGTAGGTGCAGGAATTCTGAGGACTGGCCCAGAACCAAGGAGGGTTACCAGATGGGAGTATTATTTTAAAGATTTATTTTAGTGTGTGTGTGTGTGTGTGTGTGTACAGGCGCACGTACATCTGTGTGCATGCATGCATGCTGAGGTCAGAGGAGAATGTCAGATGTCCTGCTCTGTTGTCCTGCTCTGTTACTTGCTGCCTTATTACTTTGAAACAGACAGGGTCTGTAAGTGACCTGGAGCTAGGATGGTGACTCCCAAGCCTGTGTGACACTCAGGTCACCATTCTCCCATAGCACCAGAATTACAGGTGAGCACAGCCAAGTCAGGTTTCCCCCCCCCACAAATGTGAATAATGGGGATTCAAATTGTTGAGTGCAAAGGTCACACACTCATGCACTGCCACACACAGCCCGGCCAGGGTGTTAATAG